CAACAAAAAATAATATTATGCCAAGCAGTTTGTAAGAAGGTAAAGACATACCACTTTCATTCGGAATGGGAAGAACAATACTTTTTTAACAGAAGTTAAAGATAAAAATGTGTGTTTGTTATGTAATACTTCGGTCTCCGTTGCTAAAAAAGGAAATATTGAGAGACATCATAAAACTGTACATTCTAATTTTGAAAAATCATTCCCACTACATTCTGCCGCCAGAAAGGAGAAACTGAAACAGTTAAAAAAGCAGTTAATTGGACAACAATCAATATTTTTAAGAACAGTCGACAAAAATAAGGCTGCAACTGAAGCATCGTACCGTGTGTCCCAGATAATTGCACAAAAAAAGAAACCTTATGAAGACAGGGAAATGATAAAACAGGCGTTTTTAGAAGCTGCTGATTCGTTATTTGCCAACTTTAGAAATAAAGACGAGATAGTTTCAGCTATAAAATCTATGCAACTCTCTGCTAATACAGTGATGAGACGTGTAGAAGTAATGAGCAATGATATTTTTTTACAGTTAAGAAATGACTGATAACTGTGTTTATTTTTCACTTCAACTGGATGAATCAACAGATGTCGTTGACACTGCCCAGATGGCCGTGTTCGTCAGGATGGTTTTTAGTGATTTTACGATTAAAGAAGATCTTTTGAAGTTTATTCCACTGAAAGGACACACTACTAGACAGAAGTTGTTTTCTCATTTAAAAAATATTATTTCTTCCGAGAAAATTCCAATATCGAAAATGGTAGGCTTGACAACCGATGGCGCTCCAGCTATGGTGGGTTGTGATAAGGGTCTGGTGGCGTTATGTCGTAAAGATGAAACTTTTCCGCAATTTCTCTGTTACCACTGCATTATCCATCAGCAAGCATTATGTGGAAATTTCCTGAAACTAAACAACGTTATGAAACTGGTGGTAAAAATTGTGAACAAGATTAGAGCTCAAGCGTTACAAAGAAGATTATTCAAAACCTTGGCCGATGAAGTTGACTGTCAATACGGGGACCTACTCCTTCACTCTGAAGTCCGATGGTTAAGTAGAGAAGGGGTGCTGAAACGTTTTAATGATGTCCTATCTGGCATAGTTCAATTTTTCAAACAACGCGATGAACTGACTCCGGAACTAAAAAATTCAATCTGGCTTAGAGATTTTGGTTTTCTCGTGGACATTACAGAGAAATTAAACGAACTTAATTTGCAGCTTCAGGGGAGAGACAAAAAACTAGCGGAAATGATTTCTTGTATAAAAGCATTTATCAAAAAGCTGGAGTTTGGGGAACAAAACCTAATTACCAGCGATGCCAAGCATTTTCCTATTTTTTCAGAAAAAATATTTCAAAATCCATTAGAACTCTATGACAGCAAATATCATGTAGAAATAGTTTCTACCATGAAGAATAACTTCAAAAATCGTTTTAAGGATTTCAACGAAATGGCTTTAGTAGCGAAGTTTGTTGTTTCACCCTTTATGGAAATTGATATCCAACAGTTTACAACTTGTGTTATGCAGAACTTTGGCGAAGACATCGCTGCAACAGAAATGGAAGTAATTGAGTTTCCAAATGATTTAGCCTTAAAATCGTTAGTCTCAAGTACCAAATGTATCTGGCCTATTGTAAGTAAAGACAAATATTCAGTTCTATGCCGTGTTGCCTTGAAAGTGAAAGCATTATTCAGTTCAACCTATTTGTGTGAATCTTCTTTTTCCAATATGAAGTTTATTAAGAACAAATATTGAAATCGACTTACAGATGAACATTTGAATAATTGTATTCGAATGGCTGTATCAAATTATACTGCAAACATTAAAAAAATTATCGATGAGTCTGAGTGTCAGCCTTCTCATTGAACGTGCTTTTTTATTTTTCAATGTTTATGTTCATGATAGTTCGTTACTTTTTGTTGTTATTATTAACTATTTTTAAATCTTACGTTACATGCCGTTGTGGCTGGATAAAAGTTTGTGTTTATTTTTCAAACACCTTCGTTTGGTAGGTAGGAATGTAGCTATGAACAAGTACGTACTAGTAATATTAGTTATTTTGTTAGTAGTTTATTATTAGTACCTATGTATTATCAGTTAAATAGTAAAATAAATACATATAATGATAAATTAACTGTGGATTATTTCATTTACGTTGCGTTACGTGGCTTCCGTGTGGGTAGCTCGCTGTTTATTCCAAAATTAACAAAGTAGCTCAACACATTGAGAGGTTGGCGACCACTGTTCTAATGAAATTAATCAATTGAATAGTAACACCCTCTCTAAAACATTTAGAAAACTAAATCCTTTCTTAGATAAAGATGGTCTGCTTAGGGTAAGGGGTTGTCTCCACTTTTCTGGCTTATCATACGATAAAAAAATTTCTCTCATTCTTCCTCGAAAGCATCGTCTCACAGATTTAATTACTGAATGCTTTTATAATGAACATTTTCATCTTGGGTTGCAAAATCTCCATTTTCTCCTCTCCCAACAATTTTGGATTTTGTCTCCAAAACGGGCAATATGCCATGTCTTGTCGCGTTATCATCGTTGCTTTAAAATAAAGCCTACCTCTTGTGAGCCTTTTATGGGAAACTTACCCTTATCTCGTGTCAATAAGATTAAATCTTTCTCATGTATGGGGGTCGATTACGGAGGTCCGTTCTTTGTAACTCCTCTTAAAGGTCGTGGTATTAAGACCCACAAGGCATATGTTTGTCTATTTATTTTCTCAACAACCAAAGCAATTCATCTTGAACTTGCTAACAGTCTTTCTAGTGACTCATTCATTGCAACTCTTCGCAGATTTGTCGCTCGACGCGGTAGATACTCAAAAATATTCTGCGATAATGGAACCAATTTTGTGGGAGCATCACGCGAGTTGAATCAGCTAATGAAAGATGGTTCTGATTTTGAAAAAATATCTTTTCCATTTTCTCCCCCGTCTGGGCCGCACTTTATTGGACTTAGTGAGGCTGGGATTAAGTCGGTTAAATCTCATATTATTTGAGTTATCGGATACCAAGTTCTCACTTTTGAGAAATTCTATACCTTTCTAGTACAAGTTGAGGCTATTTTAAATTCTCGGTTATTAAGCTCTGACCCCTCAGATTTGTCAGTGTTAACCCCCGGACATTTCCTAATCCCTTAACATCTTATTTCTGTCCTGAGTCCTGACCTTTCTCAAGTGAATATCAACCGGCTGGACCACTGGCAGTTGTTGCAGCGGTTACAACAGGATCTTTGGAAACGGTCGCACGCAGCATATCTGCATACTCTTCAACAGCGCCATAAATGGCTTAATAAGGGAGTCGTTGTAAAAGTGGACGTTTTAATTCTCCGATGTAGACGAGGGCGCATTATTAGTACTCATTTCGGTTCTGATGGAATACCTAGAGTCGCAACTGTTAAAACTACTGAAGGTTCACTTGTACGACCGTTAGTAAAACTTTGTCCCCTTCCTGCAGTGGACAAGTAATCACATGGATTTTTTCATTTTGTTTATCTTTTATTTTATTTTTCTCTTAAATTGCTCAGTTTTAGTAAATTTTTCTTTGTTTATTACAATGTATTTTAAGAAAATACTATGTATTTTGGTAGGGGATTTGTTAAGTCTTCACTTATTTAGTACATGTACGTTTAAATTGAATATTATCATCCAGTATGACACGTGATATTTCACTTATATTTATTATTCTCATTACTTATACTTCACCAAGACGGTATTGCCCTAATTGGTCAAAGACCACATCGTGTGGCGAAGAACGATTCTTGCATTCAAACGGTCGAACATCAGTATCGCCGCAAAACTCGAGTATTCGAGCATTGTGATAATTATAATCAAATTACATTTCCGAACATTGAAAAACCAGCGCCCCAAATACAGTCCACGATCCCTGCACCTTAGGGTGGACGCGCTTAGGAAAATAAGTCTGCGTCAGGAAGCCAAGGAAATTAAAGGTTTAAATTTTCTTACGCGCGTGACATACCGTTAGCTTAACCATAACCTATTCGGCACTATTATTAGGTTTCCAAATAATTAATTTGTTATATGTTCTTTTTATGTATCTATATCTACTATGTATATTTTAAATTAATAAATTTTGTTTTAATATTACATCAGTTTATTTCTTGCAAGCAGTGATACCTATTATTATTATTCATGTGCCGAATTTAAACATTTTAAAAGGGAATGTTTTAATATCTGCCGAGCGTGACTATTTTTATTTCTTATACCTGAGACATGTGCCGAGTTTGTATCTCCCGCTGAGTTTACGACTGTTATTTTACTTGGAAGTGAACCTTTGGGATTGAAAATAAAAAATTAATGCAACATTTCTGAATTTATAAAAAAAAATGCCAAATGTGGAAAAATTTAAAAAATGCAAAAATTTTTAATTAGTGGAAAAAATACAAAAAAAATGCAAATTGTATTTTTTTCCGGGCCTTGATAATGAAGTACCATCTAATGTAGGGTTTTACTGTATTAACTTCTGCTATTTTCCACCTTGGTTATAGCCCTCCTGACATACCTACTACATAAAGGTGATCCTGATATGAAACTACAATTTCAAATATTTGGTCTGTTTGGATAATATCATTGGTAGCCGTTTTACTTATTTCCTTTATCAGAATGCATCTGTTTTGGATATTTACATTAGAAACATTTTTTTTTTTCAGTACACATAGCTATTTGACTAGCAAATGAGCAGTAAGCAATTAAAACATTATCATAAATGCTTATGATTAGATTGCGTTTATCGTAATGCTTTTTAAAGTATCTAGGAAGATTGTAAAGAAAATAAAGAAAATCCGAGTTAATTCAGATTCGGCGTCATGTACCCTAATATTCTTTTGAAGGCTTCAGCAATTTCTTAAGTACCACTAGAATATTTTAGGTGTATTCCAAAAACATATTAATTATCTTGGAAATAAGACATACATATTATAAATATTTAATCTTAATTTAACTTACGAAATAAAAAATAGAAAATATAATTTTACCTTATATAAACGTGCCTTCCATCTTGTATACGAACTGGTGTACTGATGAAATTGAAAATACAGAAGACTGAACATACAAGACAAGAAAACTATGCTCGGTGCACAAGAGTACGGATTTTTGTCTAACTTTGCTGAAGTATATGCATCTTGAAGAAATTTTGCATGAATTTTGAATAAGAAATTCATTTATTCCCAGAATCAATCACAAATAATTTACTTATGTCATACTTGTGCTATTTTTGACAATTTCTAAACAAAGCAGAACCGGCCCTTGGACACCCTTTGATAATAAAATAGCATTGTTTTTATTTCAGCAACTTTGTGTTACCTTGACGGTGGACACAGAGTTGACTTTAGAATAATTAAAGTCTACAGAATAATTTTTATTAGCTTTGGTGTAAAATTTATAATTTAAATAAACTATAAATAATTAAATAGTGTGTCGCAAAATGTTTACATCACATTTTTACACAATGTCAAAATGTTTAAATATTTAAATGTCAAAATGTCAAAATCTCAAAACTATTGAAGTTACCTTAATAGTGTTAAATAAAGTTATCAAGTATATTATTTTAAGAAAATAGTTATTGTTTATTATGTGAACTATAAGTTTTGAGTTTTGTCAGAATCGACATACATAAGTCTATTATATATTTTACTTCGAATAAATATCTACAAAACGACTGTGCCTTCCTTATTCCAGAGAAGACAGCCAGTAGTAGCTACTTCGACTACAGAAGCGGAAATCATCGCAGCAACTGAAGCAACCAAATTATTTCTTTGGTTGCTTCATATCTGGTCTTGTTCCAAGCATTAGGTACATTAAGGCTCCTATAGCTTGTCTGTAGGGATATTCTCTCTTTTCGTGATCTTTCCCTGATTTTAAATTTCCTGTCTTGATCATAGGTGTGGATACTGGTCTGCAAGCTGAAAAATTGAAACGCTCAAGGATCTTCTTTGCATAAGCCTTCTGATTAATTTTTATGCCTCCTTCTTCCTTTTCAATTTCTAATCCTAGAAAATAGACTGCAGACTTTGTAGTAATTTTGAATTCTGTTCTTAATTCTTCCAAAAAATCTTCTAGTTCTTGAATTTCACTTGATATCACTAAGCCGTCATCAACATAAAGAGCTAATATAAGCTTCTTGTTATTTCTGACTCTTTGATACAAGCATGGATCCGCTTCACTGACTCTAAATCCTAAATTTTGTAAGAAGCTACCGAATCGTCTGTTCCAGCATCTTGGAGCTTGCTTTAATCCATACAAACTTCTTTTCAGTTTACACACTTTGTTTGTATCATTTATGAAACCTTCTGGCTGTTTCATGTAGATTACTTCATCCAGTTCTCCATATAAAAAGGCAGTCGAAACATCAAACTGAATAAGATTCATATTTTCGCTTGCCGCAATACTTATAATAGATCTTATTGTACTTAATTTAGCTACAGGGCTAAATGTTTGACTATAGTCAACACCAGGCCTTTGTTCGTAGCCTTTGATGACTAATCTGGCCTTGTATTTTTCAATACTACCATCAGGGTTTATTTTGACTTTGAAAACCCACTTACATGGCAAAGCCTTAGCTCCTTCGGGTAGGGAAGCCAACTCCCATGTTTGGTTTTCAATCAATGACGCCAGCTCGCTCTGCATAGCCTCTTGCCACTTGTTGCTTTGCTGACTACCCACTGCTTCTGTATACGTTTCTGGAGTTTTGACAGTGTTAATTAAATCTTCTGCTATCATTAAGTAATCTTCATATCTTACTGGTTTTAATATTTTTGATCGATCTCTAAGGTTATAAGTTTCTTCATTGTTTTCTAGCTCTTCTTCGTATTCGCTATCTTCAGTTTCAAAATCTAAATTTCTTTCTTCAGAATTTTCTTCCGTGTCCTCTTCTACTTCACTATCTTTGACATTATTTTCTTCGCTCTTACTTTCAGGCTGATAATCTCTTAGGGTTAGTTTAATGGGCTCAATACAGTCTCCTAACTTCTCTTGAAACTGCACATTTCTAGACAGAATTACTTTGTGACTTTCTTTCACCCAAATTCTGTACCTTTCGTCTCCGTCATAACCCACGAGATATCCCTTAATAGCTTTCGTATTCATTTTTCTTCTTCTTTGGTTTGGAACGTGTGCATAACAGGTAGAGCCTATTATTCGCAAATGCTTTATTCTTGGTTTCCTACCCAACCAAAGTTCATATGGAGTTTTGTCGTCTACTGATGACTTAGCAGTTCTGTTGAGGATGTAGATAGCTGAACTAACCAGTTCTGCCCAAATCGCTTCAGGAAATACTACCGCTGAATTTGAGTACTTAAAAGTTCTAGCCATTTCTATAACAGTACGGTTTTCTCTTTCACTATGGCCATTCTGCTCAGGAGTATAGGGTGCTGTTAACCTCTGAATTATTCCGTGCGTAGAAAGAATGTCTCTAAAGTCTGTATTATCAAACTCTCCTCCGTTATCGGTTAATATTTCTTGTATAAGGTGACCATATGCTTCTGCATGTTTGACTAGATTCTCCAAGCAATACTTCACGTCTGATTTTTCCCTTACAAAGTAACCAAAGCGAAATTTTGTGAAGGTATCTTTAAATAGAACTAAATATTTCTTTTTCTGAAAAGACTCTGCAAATGGTCCACAAACATCTGCGGTTATTAACTGACCTGGTTTGGTGGCTTTTGTTCTAGTACCAAACGGGAGGCGGTGCATTTTTCCATATATACACGGCTCACAAAGTTCACTGTTTAGCTTAACATTGAACCCCAGCTCTTTTTCAAGTAAATTTCTTATGTGGCGTTTATCTTGATGCCCCCACCTCTCATGAAAGAGTTGCAACAGTGAACTATCTGATACTATTGCATTTACTTCTGATCTAATTGGCTTTAAATCTGCTTTGTAGAGTGCACCATTTAAATCTCTATATCCACATAATATTTCTTTATTGTCAACTGTTAAGGAACACTTTGTCGCTGTAGACTTAAACTCACTGTTTGTGTTGTTATCTTGGGCTGATAAAATGGATATTAGATTTTTGGTCATATTAGGAACGTACCAGACATCTTTTAGCAGTATTTCTTGATTAATATTATTTACTTTTGCTAAAACTCTTATGGTACCTTTTCCTTCTGCATTTAGGCATTCTTTCCCAGCTGTTCTCATGATATTGGGTGATTCAAATTGTTCATAAGTTCTAAAATAATCATAACAATTTGTTACATGCCTAGTTACACCGTTATCTATCCACCAATTTATGGAGTCTTTCTCAACTACATTCAGCTCATTGCTCATGGACATTAAAGCTACCATACTAGTTGTAGCTATACTGTTCTGAAAGCTGCTTGGCCCTTTATTTTTTGCCGGTCTTCCATCACCTATCCATTTCTTGCAATGCTTTACCCAGTGACCTTTTTCTTTACAATAGTTACAGTTATCATTCTTCTTAGAACTTTGCTTTTTATTTTTCTTAGTTTGATATTCTTTTTCTGATCTTGCTACTAATGCTTCTTGTACAGATTTTTCTGAGTTTATAACCTTCATGAAATTCCTTTCATGCATACAAAGCTGCATTGTTAATTCTTCAAAGGTTTTATCAGCATCTTTGGTCAATAATAACCAACCAGATTTGAAGTTTTCGAAATTAGTTGGCAAAATATGGAGAACCTTACACATTAACATTAAATCTGGAAGTTGAGCAATGTTTTTAACTTTAAGACCATTATTTAACTCATTCCATAAAGGACAAAGAAACAGCTCATGATGTATGGCAAGCATTAAAACTCCAATTTGAAGCCACATCACAAGATCAGTTATTTCAAATATGTACAGAGTTTTTTGCTTTTTGTTGGAATCCAGGTGATGATGTTTCTACTCATATAGCAAAACTAAGAAGTTTATGGAATGAGTTAAATAATGGTCTTAAAGTTAAAAACATTGCTCAACTTCCAGATTTAATGTTAATGTGTAAGGTTCTCCATATTTTGCCAACTAATTTCGAAAACTTCAAATCTGGTTGGTTATTATTGACCAAAGATGCTGATAAAACCTTTGAAGAATTAACAATGCAGCTTTGTATGCATGAAAGGAATTTCATGAAGGTTATAAACTCAGAAAAATCTGTACAAGAAGCATTAGTAGCAAGATCAGAAAAAGAATATCAAACTAAGAAAAATAAAAAGCAAAGTTCTAAGAAGAATGATAACTGTAACTATTGTAAAGAAAAAGGTCACTGGGTAAAGCATTGCAAGAAATGGATAGGTGATGGAAGACCGGCAAAAAATAAAGGGCCAAGCAGCTTTCAGAACAGTATAGCTACAACTAGTATGGTAGCTTTAATGTCCATGAGCAATGAGCTGAATGTAGTTGAGAAAGACTCCATAAATTGGTGGATAGATAACGGTGTAACTAGGCATGTAACAAATTGTTATGATTATTTTAGAACTTATGAACAATTTGAATCACCCAATATCATGAGAACAGCTGGGAAAGAATGCCTAAATGCAGAAGGAAAAGGTACCATAAGAGTTTTAGCAAAAGTAAATAATATTAATCAAGAAATACTGCTAAAAGATGTCTGGTACGTTCCTAATATGACCAAAAATCTAATATCCATTTTATCAGCCCAAGATAACAACACAAACAGTGAGTTTAAGTCTACAGCGACAAAGTGTTCCTTAACAGTTGACAATAAAGAAATATTATGTGGATATAGAGATTTAAATGGTGCACTCTACAAAGCAGATTTAAAGCCAATTAGATCAGAAGTAAATGCAATAGTATCAGATAGTTCACTGTTGCAACTCTTTCATGAGAGGTGGGGGCATCAAGATAAACGCCACATAAGAAATTTACTTGAAAAAGAGCTGGGGTTCAATGTTAAGCTAAACAGTGAACTTTGTGAGCCGTGTATATATGGAAAAATGCACCGCCTCCCGTTTGGTACTAGAACAAAAGCCACCAAACCAGGTCAGTTAATAACCGCAGATGTTTGTGGACCATTTGCAGAGTCTTTTCAGAAAAAGAAATATTTAGTTCTATTTAAAGATACCTTCACAAAATTTCGCTTTGGTTACTTTGTAAGGGAAAAATCAGACGTGAAGTATTGCTTGGAGAATCTAGTCAAACATGCAGAAGCATATGGTCACCTTATACAAGAAATATTAACCGATAACGGAGGAGAGTTTGATAATACAGACTTTAGAGACATTCTTTCTACGCACGGAATAATTCAGAGGTTAACAGCACCCTATACTCCTGAGCAGAATGGCCATAG